CGGGAACAGGGTCGTCGTCATGCTCGGCGACTTCCATCAATTGAGGTACGTTTCTTTTAGAGTTGATCCTTCACGAGTAGGTGTCGCGCTTTCATGGGTCTGTCTCTCTCGGATCACTGTCTTCGAAACATAGATTAACATCTCCCGTTTCCTTCTCTTCCTCTCTTTTGTTGTCGTCTTACTTTTCGTTCCAGCCCGGTCAAAGCCAAATCACTCGCGTGTGGTGCCGGAGTCTCCACTCGCCGTCGTGACATGACCGTTACCGAACGGTATGGTGCTGATCTCTTCAGAAGCGCCAACGCTTGTGTCATGCTTGATGAGTCCAACCGTTTCACGCCCATCTACGCGCCCATAATGGAGCGTTGTCTTCGTTCGGAATGCATCTCCGATGACGTCGACCTCATCAACAACCATGTCATGGGCACCAGCCGCAAGGCAGACTCCCTGTTCGACGCGCGCGTCATCGCCTTCCGCAACAAGGTATCATTGTACTACATTCCGTATGATTCTTCTTCTATAACCCTTCTTTTCGCTCCGTTCTACCTCATCCGCTTCCGAAACAAGGTATCTGCCTAGATGCTACTGATTCTTTGCTCCGCCTGATCTACCTGCCATAATATTTCGCCATCCCTTCACTTCCCGCTGCAGGTTAACACCGTCTTGACTGTGCCGATGATGCGGACCTGGTGCAAGGCTAAAGGTACCACTCTCTTCATCGCGGCAGCCCATGACGTATACGTCGGGCACCAACGTCCGGGCGCCACCGCGGAGGTGAGAACATCGCATGTACTCTGCTGTTCAGCTTGAGTCTTGCCCTGGGTTTCCAAACATTCCAAACATAAAGAGTCAAGCATGACTGAGGGCCTTTGCAACTTCCGTACTCGAACAGGTACCACCAACGGACGCTCCATGGCCTGCAGGACTTCGTCGCGAAATAAAGTCGCTCGACGACGGCAAAACAAACGACCTCCCCACCAGCGCATGCCTTGCTATCGGTGCGCCAGTCGTTCTTCACAAAAGCCCACAGTTCGTCCTACTTGGGGTATGTAACAACTCCGACGGCATCATCCGTGGCATTGAGCTTGACCCACGTGAAGGTTACGCCTCCAGTACCGCAGGCTACTCCGTTGTCACCCTTCGGTACGCGCCACTCAGAATCTTCGTTTACATCAAGTCTGCTGATGCCGCCGGCCTGCACTTAGATGGGTTGCAGAGGGGAGTAATTGCCGTGGCACCGGTTGAGCGTAAGTTCACAATTGTCGGCATCAACAAAAGGAAGTTCACCTTCAAACGGCGACAGATACCATTGACGGCCGGATGCTTATCGTCGGTGTACCGCAGCCAGGGCCAAACCATGCCAAAGATCATCCTCGACATTCGCCGCCCTCCGGGACATGCTGTGGACTGCGCCGCCGTCTACGTTGCCCTTTCGCGTGCAACCGGTCTTGGCGATTTGAACCTTCTCTTCCCTGTAACCCTGCAAGATCTCAATCAGCCTCAGAATCCAGACATCGTCGCCATCGTCAACTACCTACACCGTCTGGACGAGACTACTATGGTGCTTTTCCTCAAAGACCCGGGGTCTTTCACCCCTGCCTACGCCACCTTGGACGGCATCGAAGAAGCCGGCCCAAGGCCGCCCCACAAACAACCAAAACGCGTTGGTCGCCACGGTCCAGGTGCCACCCGAAGAGTCGCGCACCTCATCCCCAACGAGGACAACAATTGCTTCTTCAATTCTGCGCTCGCTTTGGCACTCGCGGCCTGGGATGGTCAGCCGCTTCCAGATACTACAGCCGGCACCCCTGCTGCCGGGTCTTTTTTTGCGGCTTTGCAGTTACTGAGGGACTCCATGTTCGACGAGTGCGACCTGTCGCCGAATATCGTGGTGAGCGTTCCGTCTTTGTTGGTATCTTGGCTTCACTTCCATCGCCAATTCTTCGTCTTGCATGCTCTTACCTGCCTTGCCGTCTCATGTCGTTGCCGTGCCATCTTCTTGCCTGACGCTTTCCACGTGCCTACTTGCCGAACGCTTTACTTCCCTTCTTCACGCCTGCATCTGCCGTCCACACCTCAGCTTGAAGCGCGACAAGCGCGTCAAGCCATATTTTCCAATTCGTCTCTGCCCGGGGTAGGCTCTCAGATGGGAGACGTCGCTAGCGTCTTCGAGGCAATTGCGGCTCGTTGCCCACAGGAAGGGTCACCCATATGGCCAGACAACTTCAACGATCGTCAAAAACGGGTCGTTCGGACTCGTCGAGAATTTGGGCTTGATTGGCGATACGGCAATTCATGTCCACTGGGCAATCACTCCAACCTCGAGATTACGCCCGATCAGTCGGCGGCGCTGAGGAACGCCACCGTTATCACCATCCCAAACGGCGCCTCCACCACTTTTCATGAAAAGGTACAGGGATTTTTCTCCTCTGGCCAGGCTTCGGATCTGTCCATTCCGGGGACATCCCTGTGCCCCTTCTGTGCAGCTGGCCTAAGCCAGACACTGTGCAATTGGACTTTGCTACCATGGACTGTGCACACAGCACCTAACAGGGTGTTATTCCGTTCTACTGAGGTATTCCAAGGGCTGCATGGTCGGCCCATGTCGCCATCGCCGACTATGTTCATGGGGGCTGCATATTCCTTGGTCGGCGTATCTTACCATATTGCGCATGGTGGGTCACGGAAGAACCACTTCGTCACTCAACTGCGTGTCAGAGGAAGATGGCACAAGTACGACTGCCTGGCGGGAGGAGCGGTAACTTCTTCAGACACGTTCGATGCCGACTGGAACAGCTCGTCGCAGTGTATGCTGGTGTACCTTAAGACTTCTTTGTGTGTCGCCACCCCACCGCTGTACACGCGACACGAGGAACAACATCATAACAGCCCTTCTGGGCGACAACCGGGCCACCGTCATCACGCCGACGACAGCAGCCCTTCGGGCCGGAATCATCAACACCCCTTGCAGCACTTGCCACACAGCCCTTCAGGAAGGACTACATCGCCCAGTGGCGCCCGTTCTATCCACGATCGCAGCTCCACGGATGCCGGGGATGCCGTCTTCGATTCTTTTGGGGACATGTGTATCAGTCCCTCAGGCCGAACTTTTTAGTTGTTTGTCTTCCTGTGTCTACTGTATGTAGACGTTGCATTTCGTGATACCCGAGGCTAGGATGTATGTGTTTGCGTAGTGTAGTATCGGTTAATTAAGGCCCTTCCCGTTCGCGACTAAAATAAAAAAAAAAAAGCTTGGGACTAGCAACGCGGACGATATTCGTCGGCTTGCTTTCAACAATTAGAAAAAGCGACAAGAAATCGGAAACGCCGAAACCAAGAAATTTTAAAATCCAAAATCCAACCTATGAGCCGAACCATTGTCTTCCTCTTGGACTCACTAGGTATCACTTATCGGGCCAACCCGACGTCTATGCCCAGGCCATATCCCTTGACAAGAAAACACAAAAAACAACGCAAATTGGAGAACAAATTTGGCACTAGACAGATATTTCTATTCCCATCGATCCCTCCCTCTCTTGAGCGACAGGGTGGGTGGGTGGGAAATTCGATCAAGTCCCAAACGAAAACTCTCTTCTCTCGCTGCTGTTTTGCTGCACTGCCTTTGCGGGCGATGCAACGTTTTTCCCTTCGAGGTCCTCGGCTTCCCAAGGATCCCAAAAGCTTCTGCCAACCTCTCTCTCTTCTCTGTACCCTGTACATAGCTATACCCCGTGTACCCTTTTTTGTCTCTCGCCGCTCTTTCACGAAATTTCCGGAACGCTTCCACAAACCACGGATTCACGGTTATACCGAATCCTTCGTTTTGTGATTTGCTCAAGAAATTTGGATTATTAGAAAAAGCGACAAGAAATCGGAAACGCCGAAACCAAGAAATATCAAAACCAAAATCCAACCTATGAGCCGAACCATTGTCTTCCTCTTGGACTCACTAGGTATCACTTATCGGGCCAACCCGACGTCTATGCCCAGGTCATATCCCATTGCGCGGCCCGATATTCGGCGCTCTTGTCCACGCTATTTCTCCCCTTCAACTAGACTCTAGTGCGCGCGATACATAATTAGCGCCTTCGCCTCCTGCCCTAACGTACGTCATAAAGGCTCCTGACTTCCACCTCCCCGCCCTCCGAATCTAAATAACCGATGCGCCCTGCTTTGCTAGTTGCGTCGCACCACCTATCCTCCCTGAATGTAGCGCAAAGTGCATTGGGTTTTCTCCTACTCTTCTTGCCATGTCTCTCAGCACTGTTGTTGCTTCCGACCTCGACACTACTGCCCATCGTCCCTGCTTGACCGACTGCAGGAGCGGCGCGGTACTTCCTAACTCTGGGTGCACGTCAAGCAGAATCAGCAAATTTTCTAGCGCCCTCATCTTCTCAACCATCTGTCCCACTTCCTCGTCCCGCATTACTCTCTCTCTCTCGTCACTACCGCGCCTCGCCTCTTTTGGTCCACTTTCGATGCGCGAAAAGTCACTTCTACTCTGTCTGCCCGCCTTCTTTCTTCCCACGCTAGCCGACACGATCCTTCGAAGAATACGAGGTTCCCTCTCGTGAGACAAAATCGGCGTGTACTAAGCCGTTGTGGTAGGCCCACAGCTCAGACGCTCGGCACAGCAAGAAATACGAGAGAGCGATCCCCATCCACGTCACTAGTCTGAAAACACCCGTCTGCGCTCTTTCTCTCCCCGCTATAATCATCGGCACGGTGAGCGGTTGCCTTACCAACGGTTTCGTCTCTGCCCTCGCATGCAGTCTGTCTATTGCGTTCCCAACAGCTACCACTCTGAAGTGCGACGTGGGCAGCTCCCAGCCTGCATACAGTTTATGGAAGTACTTGATAGCCGCGAGGTACCCTTCACCGTTTGGCTCTGGTTCTTGTACACTAAACCCCTCGACGCCATAAACGCAGTCGGCTCTCTCACTGCGCTATCCACACCGTCCTCCTCGTACAACCATGGACTCAAATTCGCTTTAGCTCTTTCAGCTGTCCACGTGTCCCACTTGCTGTGAGGTATCCCTTCAGCGTGCTCGCGTTCAAGGAGCCGTGCTCCATTATCCTGAGGAGCCTTTCGCCTTCATCGCTCGTTCCCTTCATCCCGTGTTCGCTTCCTGTACTTGAACACGTTAGAGTCGTTACACCTTCTTTAGTTATTTAGCTCATCATTCTCGTCTTTCTCTCATCACTTCTTCTCTTTACACGCTTGCCATGCGGCTCCATACGAGGACATCCATTCTTTGGTTCTGGAGTTTCTCTTGCAGTATCATTTCAATTAGCTCTCTTCCGGTGTCTCCGATGTCTTGCATTCGCCAGTTATCATCATGCGTGAGTCTTTCTACATTGACTTCTACGTCCTCTGACTTCTATCTAGATATCTCGTCCGAGAGGGTATTCTCGCGTCCCGGGATGTGTTTCGCCACGTGACACCATCCGTTCTCAATCTCCATGCGACCAAGCAGTCTCATGAGCAGTCCACGCTCGCCTGTCTCTCGAGCCCCCGCATCTGTTCACCCATGATACCGCCGATACCTTGTCTCCCCTCATCATGATAGCTTGTCCATGTTGCGTCGGCTTTTCTCCCACGACCATTTGGACCACCCAGCATGTAATTATCATTCCGAGCAATTCTAGCGTGTTAATCGTGATTGCGCTGGTTTCTTTGGCTTCTGCTTTCCTTTTCAGCTCCGCGGTAAACGCGGGTTTAAATCGATACCGCCAGAACACTTTTAGTTCGGGACAGTGTCCGCCGACTGCGTCGAAGCTAGCATCCGACAGGTAGTGACGGAAAGGCGTGCGTTGGACGTGGTTAAAGAAAAACGCGCTAAGTGACTCTCCTTTCTCCGCCAGTTTAACTTCCAGCGCCCATCTCCATAAGTCTAGGTCTCAGTGGAACTCCCAACCGAGACGTACCTGCCTCTTCTCTCTCGACGGTCTGTTTGTCTTGTCGTGTAGGCCGGTGAGGCGTAAGAGGTGCCATACGAAATATTTCCCCGCCCTCATGACATATGACTGGTTCCAGAGTTTTCCTGCCATACTCAGGACTTCTTGCACACTGGCGAATTCTCTGGTCTGTGGCCAATCGTTCTCTAGCGCGGTCCTTATCGTGTCGATCCTCTCACGTTTTGTCGCGATCGTCATTTTATGGGTGTCTATCGTGTGTCCGAGAAATTCCACTTTCGTGTTCCAGTCTGTGCTTTTCTTCCGGGCGAGAATGGGCGTTTGGCTCGCCTCTGCTGGCCCGACGAGTCTCACACAGTCAGACGCTAATGACGCGGAGGCTACCAGCGCTGAAGCGCGTCTGGCGCATATCGTACTTTCAGTAAAGCGAATTCGTCTACGTACACCCCGCACGAGAAATCATCGTGTGGTCCGCCTCCGTCATGCGCTTTCACGTTGGCATCTCGGGGCACTCGGGCGGGTGGTCCGTCTTCCCACGGCTCGACTATTTTTACATGTGACATCATTTCGATCCCTTCGTCTACTAGTTGTACGTTGTGTACATTGGTGTTGCGGTGTGAGTGTTCAGCAGCGGACCCCATGACTCCCCAAAAACCGGGTGAACCTGCCCATCCAAACGTCAGTCTGAAGTCGGCGACTAGTCTCCTATCACATAGCAGAATTTTTCTGCATCGTCTGGCGCAACTCTCGTGTTTCGGTAAGCGTTGTTCACGTCCGCCGTGGACACTAGTATCCTCTTGTCAGGCCATTAGACTCTCAAGCGCGTTAAATCAGAAAGGAAAGCAGGTAGAGTCTCTCCGCACAAACAGTCGGGTACTTCTTCTGTTACCGTATCCACGTTGACTCCTCCCTTCTGTCCGCGCAGTAGTTTGGGGTCAAAAGAACAATCGTTGGTGATTCTGTTTTTTTTCCTACCGCAGCTCCTAGCGGCGATATGCGAACGCCCTTCACGCGAGCTGCGTCGCTACGTTGAATACGAGGCATCTGTTCTGTTCGACGTCGTCTATCAGCTTCTTCCACACCAGTTCCGTGTGGGCGTCTATCGTACTGTGACTTCCGTATCGGAGAGCGCTCTCGAGGTTAGACGGGCTGTCGTGCGCTTTTGCTGGCACTCGTGCGCTTTTGCTGGCACCCGTTGTCTACGACGTCTATGAGATTCGCGAAGTCTGGGAAGTGTTTTTTTTTTTTTTTTTTTTTTGTTCCGAAGTGTTGTTCGAGGTCGCTCAGGTTTAGCGGCGGTGACACCAAGGTGCCGCCGATTTCCCTCGCGACATCTCCCAACTTTCCGTCGTTCGTTTTCAGAAGCATGCTACCAGTCTTCGCAAGTTCGTGAATGATTTCCTGTTTTCCGTCAAGTCTGTACCACGTCCTAGGCATTCCTTTTGTTCTCTCCACATTTCAGCCAGTAGCTTCCCATAAGGAGGTGGCAAGGCTGCCGACCCGTCACTATCCGAGTCCCTCTTGCCGTAGGGGTCTTTGTCTCCAATACACGTATTGGGTCTAGCACTCTTGCGATCTTCTCCCTGGTGCGAGGGGTCTTTGTCTCCCCGGTAACGGGGGTGTTCTCTAGTATTCCTACTAGGTCTTTCTCTGTCTTTGTCTCCAATACACGTGTTGGGTCTAGCACTCTTGCGATCTTCTCCCTGGTGCGAGGGGTCTGCTTCTCCCTTGTTACGGGGGGCTTCTCCAGCGTTCACGCCGCGTCTATTATCTTCTCCGGTGTTACGGGGGTCTTTTTCTCTCACTTGTTCAAGTCTAGCACACGGTTGTTCATCTCCTTGGTTTGAGGGGTCCATTAGCGCTGGTTCTGCAGTAATTTCATGTCCATCACTATCGGTGCGTGGTTTACTTTGGTTGGTACTTCTCGAGTACACGGTGGTTCTACTCCTTGGTGAGAGGCGTCTATCAGCTCTGGTTCTGCAGTAATTTCACGTTCCTCGCTATTGGTACTTAATTTACTCGGGCGGGTACTTCTTCTCTCACCGTGTAACACGTTCGGTGCCACCAACCCGGGACAGCAGAAGCAGCGTCGCCGCGGGCTCGTCTCCCCATGCCGTCGTATCTCGGCGGAACCTCTCTTTCTGTACATGGGTGTTGAGGGCCTGGTTCGAGACGTTAATAATGGGCCCAGAGCTTGCGCTTGCTGGGGCTGTAGCACGAGCTGGCCGCCTAACGGGAGATTGATGGGCTGGGGCTGGCCTTGCTGCTGGAGGCCGCCAGGGGGGAGGTGGCCAGGCTGCTGTTGCTGCTGCTGATGCTGCTGCTGCTGGTACTGGGGGTGCTGCTGCTGCTACTGCTGCTGCTGCTGCTGCTGCTGCTGCTTCTGCTGCTGCATCATGAGCTCCAGGTTGCCAAGTCGTTCGCTTTGCTCTTTTAGGAGTACAGACATCTGCAGCAGTAGCTGGACTGGGTTGATGGGGGGAGGTGGGCCTCCCAGCCCGGCTGGCGCGGCTCCGCCCGCGTTCTGGTCTCCTCCTGCTGCCGGGGGCGCCTTGTTTGTTCCCGCCGCCTGTTGGTTTCCCACCGCCCTGCTGGCTGGTTTCCCGCTGCTACTGCCTGTCCGCCACCATGGGGAGCTGCCAATGCTGCTCCTCCTCCGCCACCGCTGCTCTGTTGTTGGTTAGCTGCGGGCGGTGGTCCGTCGGGAGGCGGCGGTGGTGGCGGTGGTGGTGGCGCTGGCTGCGCTGGCTGCAGCTGCTACGGAGGACCCTGACCCTGCTGCTGCAGGTTGTTGCCGTTGTTCGTCACTCCGGCGTGTCTACTGCTGTAGGACAAGATTCGATCAAATTCGATCAAGTCCCAAACGAAAACTCTTTTCTCTCGCTGCTGTTTTGCTGCACTGCCTTTGCGGGCGATGCAACGTTTTTCCCTTCGAGGTCCTCGGCTTCCCAAGGATCCCAAAAGCTTCTGCCAACCTCTCTCTCTTCTCTGTACCCTGTACATAGCTATACCCCCGTGTACCCTTTTTTGTCTCTCGCCGCTCTTTCACGAAATTTCCGGAACGCTTCCACAAACCACGGATTCACGGTTATACCGAATCCTGTTCGAACCAGTCGACTGCTGCTTGTCCCCTTGGACTCTACGTCAAGACTGAACGGAGGAAGATTGATCACCTTGCTTCGTGATGAGTGGGCCTGCTGGGGATCATGTGGATGACCCACCTCCGGGTGATTCGCAGGATGCTATTGGTGGTGAGAGACTGGATTCGATTGAGACACTGTTGTCCCAGCTCACGAGCATAATCAAGTCGCTTGTTGGGCAACAACGAGGTGATCAGGTGGAGTCCTCTGTTTCATTTGCTGCTGCGCCGGGAAGCGGCGGAACAGAGTATGCTGGTGTGCATCAATCGGATGTCACTGGCAGGACTGTGGGAGGTACGGACAGTAGTGTCCAAGGCTTTGGCATGTCCAGCATGTGGGTTGGGAGTAGTAGTCTTGCAGACTCAGGCTTGAACCTTCGTGCAATTGTTGTTTGTCGTTCCTCTGCTGGTGGTAGCGCCAGCGGCGGAACCGACGCCGGTTGGCATCCAGTAGATGCTACTGGCAGGACTGCGGGAGGTAAGGGCAGCAGTGCCCAAGTCCTTGGCATGTCCAGCGTGAGAGTTCGGAGTAGTAGTCTTCTAGACTCAGACTTGAACCCTCATGCATCTGCTGTAAATCGTCCCTCTGCTGGTGCTGCAAGCTTTGGTTCGATTGGAACTGTTAGTGGGGCTTTGGGTAGCCAGTCTTTCGGTTCGGGAATGGTTAGTGGGACTTTAGGTGGTCAGTCTTCTTTTCCGGGAATGGTTAGTGGGGCTTTAGGTAGCCAGTCTTCCATTCCGCCCCCATCTACTCCATCGAGTGAGTGGTGGGGACGTGTCGCCAGTGGAAACACATATATTCCTGGGCCGGAATGTAAAAAACATTCGCTCTGTTGCCATTTTTTTCTCATGTTCGGCGAGCCTATAGCGGAGTTCTCTGGCGAGTACACAGAAGGTGGGATGTTTGTTATCGGAACCTTTCGTCTGCGATATGGACTCGGTTCTTCACCCCACCACTTGCGCTTGTTCCTGTGTCGGTATTTCTTTTTTCGGCAATTGCTGCGTGAAAAGTTGTTAGTTTGGCAGCCACCGAGCTAGCTTCAAGGTGTTTTCAGCTGACAACTAAGAGTGCCGTGTCTTAATGCCGCAGGACGCGAGCGTGTACTACATCGTAGATAGTTGCTGGTAACATTTTTACAAAAAGGCTCCGGCGAAAATTCATACCATGGTACACAGGATGCCAGCACCGACCAGGTAGCCGCGTCCGCATCGGACTAACCTCTTCGCTCCGATGTTCGCTTTACCGTTTCGTTAGCCGCAACAACGATGGAGTCGGCGATTTGTTCCGCCGTCCCGGCGGAGGTAACGGCTCTTCTAGATCTGTTGAGGAATATGAGCAAGGCCTCCATGGACCGAGAGCTGACAGGGTGCTACGGTGGGAGAAGGGGTAACCCTCCACGGGTCGACGACAACGGGCTGTTTCGGATGACAGTTCCGCTCCTGCACGCCGCTTTTACTGGGAGCACTGGGATGTTTTCGACTGTCCTCGGAGCAATGCGAGCCAACCTGAGGCCTCAGCAGGCACGTGATGTCGCAGTGCATGTTCAAGGCCCCATCTTCCGTGCCTTCATGCGCTTCTTCAAAGAGAAAAACAATTTTCCTACGCTGCTACATACCTGTTGAATGACCCTTGGTTGAAGTACAGTAGTTCACTGGTCTAGCGTCGATTTGACCATTGAGCATGCGTTATTGCTCTCTTGTTCCCAAGATCGCAAATGGCCGGCAATGGTGGTTTGGCTTGCCACGGCACCTTTGACTGCAAGGCGCCGTTATCACGCAAGAGGACTGACTTACTCCCGTGGCACAAGACCCATGAGTGGTCAACCTCTTCCACGCCACCCCGTAGTAATCCAACCGCGACGATCATCACCAGGTGAGACGAGCACTGGTGGCAAGAGATGGGCACGAACGTACAATCCTGGCGATGGCACTCGCGAGCAAGAGCAAGGGTTTGTTTGAGGCTGCGCTTGCTGCTCTGGAGGAAGACCTGACCAGGAACGAGGTGGGTCCACAAGAGTCGCCGTTGGCTAGCGCCGAACGCTCACCGCATGCGACTGCCATCATGGACCTTCAGTTTTATAGTGATTGGGCTATGTTTGCCTCCCTACCTTCTGCTTTGCGCTGGATGCGTTTGCAGGTGAAAGAGCTGATGATGACCCCAGATGCTGATGGCCAAAAGATCTTACACTGGGCCGCAGCCACCGGATGCCTGCACACGTTTGAGACCGTTCTGTCAGCTCTAGGCAGCCGGCTGGATCAAGGCGAGGTGCGGCAAGTTAGAGTCACCATGGTGACGTCACTAAAACTTGTCACGTATCGTTCTGGTGTCGGAAATATTAGTTGGCCGCAGTCCACGTCACTCGTTTCGAGACTCCGCTCCCAGGTCACCGGCCGGCCACAGAGTATCGTACCCAGCACACGCCGTGCAATCGCGATCGCTCCAAAACCTTCTCCTGCGAATGCGCGTTTTCGCGTCTTCAGGTTGAACACCTCTTGGCGGCGTCTACGGCAGCCTCAACTAATGACATTTTCAGCGAAAGCCGAACGGTGCTGAACTCGGCAGCCAGCAGCGGAGGAAGCCAGGTTTTCGTGGCAGTCCTGGATTTGCTCGAACGGTGTCTTTCTGCTTGGCAGGTGCGAAGTCCTCCAGTGGGTGTGTTGTCCGCCGAGATGGTCTGGCGGTAGTTGGGTGCTGCATAGTAGGAGCTTCAAGACAAGCTATTGCCAGTCAAACGTGATACGCTGCCTGAAGAGATGTTGTCATCCAGTCAACGAGACCCTCTCTTGGACCGAGACCCCTGATCAATGTTTTTCTGCATGTTGGCTGACCCTCTGGAACGGTATCAACGGAGGCACACTGGGTAAGGACCTTCGTTTTTTCTTTCCGACGTAGCCCGCAGCAAATAGGTGCCCATCGCCCTCTGTCGCCAACGATCCACCATTTTTTGGAATTGCGTGCGACGCCAGGTGAAGCGCATGATGATTTATCAAGATATGGACCTCCAGGAGAACCTCCTTCATTCGGCGATTAACAGTCGGAGCACCAACGCGTTTGACACCGTGTTGTCGTCGGTGACGAGCCGACTGACGCCGACCGAGGTACGAACGCTGACTCGACCCTCCAAACCGTCGAAGACTCGTTAAACGATTACAGAGTCGACGTTGAAAATTGTCGAGTACTCTGAATCAACTCCAGAACCAACGACGAACACTGTCGAAGAATCTCGAACGATTAAAGAGTCAACCGTGCAGCTATTTTTGCGTTTTGGTCTTGCTCGCGTCACTCCTTGCAACAAACTTTGAACCGAACCGAACCCCTGGTCCCTAGGCGAGAAATTTCCTCCTTCGTGCCGACGACGGCAAGACTCTCCTGCATGCTGCGGCTGGGAGCGGTAGCAAGGACATGTTTGAAGCGGTGTTGTCCACGCTGCTCCGCACATTCGGCCCAGAGAAGGTAAATCGATAGGAAGCGTCGCCAGCGTTGTCGGTGTGCAGGGAAACCGCCCACTTCGGTTGCCGCAGCGCTCGCGGTTTTTGTCGCCACATTGCAACAGTTTTGCTTTATGTCTACCACCTCCCCAACCGCGCTCGCACCCCGCATGCAGAGACGATGGTGTACTGATCGCTCCAGGGTGTGATCCATAATCGAACGGGATTCGTTGCTTTCGAGCTTGCACTTTGCGGTATTTTCTCTTGTCATGTTGTCGCGGTTCTGCTCGCAAAGGCGTTGATGTCTTCGGTTTGATTGCGTGATGTTCCTTCCAGGTTCAGGCGATATTGACGTCTAAAGCGAAGCACGGCAAGACGATCCTGCAGTTCGCAGCTCAGAGCGGGAGCAAGGAGTCTTTTGGAGCTGTTCTGGCGGCGGTGAAGGGCACTCCGGCCGCTCAAAAGGTGCACGATTCTTGGCACGATGGTGGCGTTCCGTAGCCACATCATCCCGAGCGTTGTTTGCGTTGATACTTCTCTCGGTCATGCAGCTGCGTATTGCACTGTCGGGAGACCAATATCCTGTGTGTATTGCTTCTCGGCAGTAACAGGTCTGCATCTTTTTGTGTTTGCCTCTGTTTCGAATGCCAGGGGACAGACGTGACTGTATGGTCTTCTAGGAGCGACTCTGGGCGAGTCCTTTGCGCTGCGGCCAGCAGTGGGAGCAGGGGGACGTTTGAGGCTGCGCTGGGGTCCCTGGAGCTTGAACTGCCTCCGGATGAGGTAAACGCGAGATTACGTGAACACCAGCGTCAAGTGTTGAGCATAGGATGTCCTGAGCATTGGCTGTTGTTGACGTCGACGGCAACACTTCTCAGGTTTTACAGCAAGGCTTAGCATTGAGGCGGCAATGGCCGCAACCGGAAAATACTTGCCTACACGAGTAGATCACGAACGTTCTCGCAAATACGTGGCAGTTGTGAAACCAGGTCGTCTTTTTGTGGGCCTTTCGGACACCCAAAACGCCAATGTTTTCAGAAACGAATAGACAACGATCGATCCTTGCGCGGTACCTGCCTCCGTTTTTTTGCTGTATATACATACGGCACTTGACAACACTCTAGCGCAATTATTTTATTGATTTTTTTGTCCTTGGAATACCTGAAACAAACGAAAAATAGCAGGCAGACCAATGCCTCGGCTTTATGATCAAGCTGGACCGCTGCGACATCAGCCACCCATTCGTTCATTTGAGGCATCTTTAACATGCCCGAAAACTTGAAACCTTTCGACAGGTCAAGACGTTGCTGACGTCTACAGGAAATGGCGGCAAGTCTCTCATAACCTTGGCGGTCAGCAGCGGTAGCAAGGAAGTGTTTGAGGCGGTGCTCGCTGCCCTGTCTTCCTGGCAGGTAGAGGCCCGTTGGTAGCAGAATCCAACAACGTATGCTGCGCTCCACGGAGCGGTTTCCTTATATCGCCGTCTACAGGTCGCATGACGTACTTTGCACGAGCGTATTCGTGCCTGAGAGGATTAGGGTATTGCTGCCAACAAATGTGGTTGAAAAGCTGATCATCACCAGAGCAGCTGGGCACTTTCGTTTTTCTGTAGCCCCACTGTATGAGCGTATCACAAGCATTAGGTCTACTGCTGTAGTTGTCCAACAGCTGCACAACATTGTTATATGAAAGTTGATGTTCGGGGGGAGGTGGGCGTGACGATGCAGTTTTTTTTTAAATATACGAAAATTGAGACCTAACATCATGTCCTGCTGCGGCGGGAGCAGGTCAGGGACGCGATGCGCACGTCTAGCATGCATGCAGAACTGCTGTTTGCTGCGGCGAAGAGTGGGAGTATCGAGCTCTGGCAGGCGGTCGTGAATGACACAAGGGAAGGGAAGGTAAAGTGGGCATAATGTCGCAAGAGTTTGAGGCTCGTTTCCTAGACTGTGATCACGCAATGTTTGGCGTCATGGAAGACTTTTTGTCAGCTCGTGATCACGTGTTGCCCACTTCAGGGTGTAATACAAGCGAATCATGCACGACGATATTTCTCATATGCGGGTGCGCTCCCTGCGCTTGGCCAGGCGCTTGGCCAGGCGAAAGAAAGTGTGGTATCTGACGACAAGGGGGCAAGTCTGCTGCTGCGCACGGCGGCTTCGCAAGGCACCGTGCGGATGTGGGAAGCGGTTCGGCACGACTTGCTTCTTGTCCAACCAGAACAGGTACGTGGTGTTGGAATATATCGCGGCGTCTAGGACCTTGCTTGATCCCTATTCGCCGTTCGAAACATGGCGCTGGGGGATGGGGTGACTATCGTGGCTGAAGGACAATATCAATGACTCCCTCCACAACGCGCTCGGTGGTGTCTTGCATATATTGTTTTTGGTGGGGCACTGCTCACGTCGATGCCCGAAATGTTTTGACCTGGTGGCTTTTCGCCATGACCAAGCGCTGTGAAGTTTCCCAAACACGAACGCCCATATCATTTGAACACCGTGTGCCTTTGCCCCATGGAAGGTCCTTGGCTTTTTGTCGCGCAACTCGGGGCTGGCCAACGTCTTGGTGAAGGGGGCCGTCAGGAGTCGAGATCCTTCCATCGTGGGAGCCGTGACACAGTTTGTGCACTGCACGCGACTTGAACAGGTAAGCCTTACTCAAAGCGTGTCCCAACAATCGTGTGTATTGCCGAGCATGGGCACATGTTGTGTTAGATCTGGTACACGAAACTCTCTGTACTTGTCCTTTTATGATGGCGAATGGCTATTGTCAACACGCCCACTGTGGGAGAAGTCGACCCGTTTCGCGCCTGTTCCGATTCCATAAACCAGGGGGTTTTGGATTTTGGGGCGTTCATTGGGTCTGGGTTCTCGGACTGGACGACGGTGGTACTGGAAAAGTCAAACTTTGCGCAGGGAGCGGGTGGCGGAGGGCTTGGTGGATCGCAGAAACACGTAATGTTGGAATTGGAATTGTTTCCCGCGGCCACGTTTGGAAGCCTCGGCGTTGGTTGCTTGAGGTTGCTTTCCGGTACTAGCAGCGCCCGGAATGTTTGTGTGGCCCAGTGAATCCAGCAAGCGCGTACCTCCGGTTCGTCAATGGCTCTGAGGGGGTCTCGAGACAACAGTGTTATCAGGGTAGGTGAGACACAAATCCAGGATGTGGTTCAGAAAAGGGCGGTTGGGATCTAACCGGAGATCCAGGGGGTTCCGACTCCACAATAATATAGGTCCAGAAGTCTTGACAAGGGGAATCAAACCTCAAACTAACTCGGGCCAGCAAGATGCCGTTTTATATCTGCCGTCTTTAGACAGAACACGTGAACACGTTTAGTTTGGATACAGGGCTTCACACGTTGTGCCGTCGCATCAGCTGCGACTCAGTACATGGCAGAGCAGGTGCGGTGTCCTCGTTGTCAGTGCACGGAATTCGTTCATTGGTGCCTATGAGCTATTAGTCTAGCCCTTCATCAAGTAATGCCCCTGTAAAGCTTGTGATGTTGTTTGGGGTACTCGGCAGAGCACTGATCTACGTTGTTGTTTGCGGTACTCGGCAGAGCACTGATCTACGTGGTCTCCGGGGGTTACGTGGACGATGTGTTTATGATGGATATGATGCGCGGGGCCTTGCCTTCGCCATATCTCTCTCACTCGTGAATGATAGAGGTATCGAGTCAATCTTCTTTCTCTTTCGGCCTCTGACGAAGCTGCCGCACCCAAACAGATGGCTCCCGATAGAAACGAGTTGGATGCGTATTTGCCGCGGCTATGGACTTATTTAATGGAATTCACTGGTTGTCAACTGCATGTTGTCCGTGTATTGTTTCTTGCCACAGCTTTGGCGAAAACCACCCGTCGTTCGAATGGAACCAAGTAAGATGTCGTGAGGGTCGCCCCTGCAATGATGCGGTCACTACTGTACCACAAACAAACGTACGTGTACGCTGCAAGTACCAGCCCAAGTCATAGCGCCTCGTATGCATGCTCGGATTATTAATTTTTGGGGTTGCCGAGTCCTGCCCGTTATCCGAGGCATTTTCTACAGTATCTCGAACCGTCCCTCCTCGTATTCTCGCAGTTCCGCCAGCTACTTTCATTTGATGCAAGCATGCTCCCCAACGGATAACAAACGCGAAGCGGGCACGTAAAGTGTTGAAGAGGCGTTGTCGTCCTCGCCGTGCGCGAGCATGGAAACGATGTAGAGGTCGGGGCGCCGCTTGAACGAACATCGCCCAATGCTTCATGTACCATGCCCAGGGAACATCGATGAACATTGACACTTGCTATTTCAATTCTACAAGACGGTTTTTCTGACCCTCTGATCCCGTCGCCGGGCGTGATCGGCACTTTTTGCCCATTCGCGGACGGTATGTGTGTGTGGTGCGGTAGGCGATCAATAGCCTAGAACCAGGATGGGTTTCTTAACGCCGTCGTTATCCTCTAGTCTGATCTACCGGATGGCACAGGTGACGTTTGTTGTTATATTTCGAGTTGCTTCATCATTGTCCGAGCTGCTCCGCGCCCAGCGCCGGAGTTCGATCCTCCTCGCCCTCCCGCAAACACGAACGCCCCCCCCCCCGCCCCCTGCCCCCCTTCCGCCGACAAGCCCGCTGGGTTTTCCGCTCAGTCACCTTACCGAAGCCCACCCCTGACCTTTTTCCTAACCCGCGGTGACCTCTACGGAAGATCGCCCCTTCCTTCGTCTCACAGGAACAGCTGCGGTGTGCGCTCTTATTGCTGCTTGCTGCTACTGCTGAAGTTGACTCCACTACATCATCACCGCCCTTGCTTGTCCATTCCCCCGATCAAAGTTCTCCGCAATTTCTTGCGTAGACTACTTGCCACTGTACGATTCAATCCCGCGTAACAAACCCCAGATTTCCTTCGTTCAATCTTACACCTTTTTTCTTCTTTTCGTTTTAATTTCGTGCCCACCTTCCTCCTGCGGTGCGTGCTGATTTGTTTTTTTCTCGAGAAGGGTCCAGTCGTCCCTTTCCCTCGTCGACGGTGAGCTTTTTTTTTCTATGTTTCGCTTGTACTGGTAAGTTTTTTTGGTTTGTCACCCCATGGGGATTCGACCTCACGACCTTTGCGACTAGCGGTTTCGAATCTACCGCTAGAGCACCGGGGCGACCGGTTGAATAATGATTTTATTTTAGGTATTCGTTTATCGTTTCATCCAGTCAATTTTGTGGACCTTACTTGTGGGCTAGCTCCGGTGGGTCTCCCACGCTTTCTACAAGTACAGGTTTGGTAAATGACGCATGGGTCACCCATGGGTCACCCATGGGCCGCCCATGGACGCCTCG